ATAGATGAAATGGGGAGAAGCATTAACTTTAGTTAGACTGGCCAGGGGAGACTTCTCTGAGTAGAGAGCATCTGAGCTCCCATTCCGAGAAGGATCCAGTTTGTAAGAAAGGGGCAAATAGAAAGACACAAAGAGCATTAAGTGGAAAGTGCTGACAAGTGGAACATGATTGAGGAGTACAAAAGGGGTCAGTGTAATAGAAATGCCACTTGTTTCTCGAACATTTAGAACTTAGAGTGCCAGCTTCATGGTCAAAGATGTGGGACAGGAATTTTAGGGTGTGTTTGTGAGTATGTGTGTGTTCAATAAGGGACATGTCTTTAATTTCTCTAACTTGACATTGTGTCATTGATAGATTTGTTTTTATTTTTAAATGTATTTTAATTCTGAACTCTCCATTTTGACATAGCAAAATCGTCCTATGTTACCACCTCAGATAAAATAAAATCACTGAACATGTTACGTTAGCCTACAGCTTGTGATGGACATTCATAGCCTGTTTCCAAAGAGTTGCTCTGTGTGAGAGACCACTCATAACATTACTATGGTGATTATTTGATTTTAATAAGTCAGTGAAAGCTAGCCAAAGAATTATATTTATAATACATCATGTGTATGATTTGGAATTCAAATATGATTCTGAGGAGAAGTCAAGCATGACTCCTGTTTTTTAGTATTTGTAATTCTTTTTGTTTTCTTCCTGTTTTTTTTACATTCTTCTTTGATATTTAGCAACCACAAATTTCATTTTTGTATTTTAATATGAAATGTTTAGAAAGTCTGTGCAAGTGAATTTTTTGTTGTAATAATGCCACCTGTTTTATTAGTAATGCTGAGAGAATTAATGAGATAATGTCTTAAAAAACATTGAATACCTTATGGGAGAAAGGATATATGTATATACACACACACATACACATATATATGAAATTTATTGTAACCCTGAAGTCTTAATGTATTACTCCTCTGTCATTGCTGCCCTGGCTTCTATGTAAACACCTCAGCCTGAATGTTTTCAACTTCAAAAACTTCTATACTTGTTTTTGACCTCTTTTGCATGAATCAAGTGAGATAACAACAGTAATGGTAATCTATAATAATCATAAACAATATTAATAATTCAGTATTTTGTAGCCACTGAAGAATAATAGTGTTCTAGTCCATCATCTTGTTTTATCTTTACAATAGCCCTAAATATTAGGTAGTATTTGTGCTGTTTTACAGGTGAAGAAACTAAGTCTATTCCAAATTGCTTCTGGGCTGCCTATGGAAGCCTCCTTAATAAGCCAGAGGTAAAATAGGAAAATATGAAATATATCTCCACAATTCTTATATGAGAAGTAACATTAATGTCTGCATTGGTTAACACTTTTTCTGAAAAAATGAACTATCTTCATCTTGGTCTGGTTTAGGACAGCTCAGCTGAAAGAAGACAAATTATTTCCATCATCCCTGAGAATCCATGCTAGAGTGAATCATGGCTGAGGCCAGCTTGAGAGATAATTTCATGCTTGGACATGATTAAAATCCAATTAAAAGAGATCTCTTACATGGATTTTAGAAGGAAGCAGTGCATAGGGAATTATATTAAACCCTGTTAAGCACAGTGACATTATATAGTCAAACTCAGGTGACTGTAACTAGAGACAGCTAGTAAAAATACCATGTCAATCCAAAAATAATGTCTGTGTAGAATCTAAAGTACAGAAACATTTGGTAGCTTATCCATACTCCAAGTTCAAAAATAAATTTAAATTAAAATGGATTAAAATCATTAAATTTGGAATAAAGATGATTAAAATTTAGATAAATTTACATAAACGTCTAACAAAAAATATAAAGGGATATATTGGGATGAGGTATAGGATAGAGGAGAAAGGAGGAAAAGTAACAAACAGAAATAAACTTTTGCTGCAACGCCGCTATGTTTGTGGACTAAGCTTTTACTCAAAGCATCTTAGTACAATCGAGCCTCACAACAACCTTTGGCATTAGGTATTACCCAAATTTTATTCTGAGGGAACCAAACTTTAAAAGAGTACACATATTGCCCAAGGTCCCATAATCACTCATTAGAGGAGCGAAACTCAAATTCAGGTCTGTATTACTCAACATTATAGGGCCTTCCTAAGGCCTTATAATGCCTCTAAGATAGTTAATCCTTCCTCTCACAGAATGAAAATTGATTAAACACACACACGCACACACACACACACCCCTTCCAGATGTTTACCAGACAGGTAAAAGCAGACTATTTAAGAATGCATGATCTAGGGTAGCCTGTCATCCCTCTTCTCCCCATTTCTTAATATTTGCTGTTTCTACTATTTGTCTTTAGTGCTAAAGGAGTTAATGTGTTGCCTTCAAAATTATTAGAGTACTCCTATCTTTTTCTTAGTTTCCACTTAAACTGTAGCATTATGTGTTTAACTATTTATTTTCACAATACCGTCCAACACCTTGCCTTACCGAATATAAGGCAAAACACTTGCTGCCAGCAAGTGTTTGAACACGGCCCCACTGATTTTGTTCATGAAAAGAAGAGGTCAGTTTTTGCAGCTTTGCAAGAAAACTATTAGTCCCATGTTAAACACAAAGAAAAGCACAGAAGCATGTGGGCGTAAATGGTAGGCTTATCTCTTCCTACAACGTCACCAACAAAAATGGCACTTGTGACTTCTGATAGCAGCAACTGTTCTTAGTTTGTTACTCTATTTTGAGGTCAAATAAACTCTTAGAGTGGATGATGAAGTTGTGTGTTGTTGCAAGATAGGATATAACCCAAGTAACAAACAACAGACATTTATAAGAAACATCACAGCAGGGACACCAGGCAGCCTTCAGTTGCAAAACAACAGGGCATAAGAAAGAGAATTTGAATAACTGATTTTTTTCAGATGTCATAGGGCCTCGTGATATATCAAGGAGGGAAATTGCAAAGATGTTTTCTCAAGAATACTGTGAAAAGAATACACAAAGTGACTAATAATGAAATATGTGATTGTATAGAAATTACAGTGATGAACTCGTGCTATTAATACTGAAGAAGAAAGAATTGTCCTAAGATAACAGCTACATGTAGTTGCAGCAAAGAAGGAATTCAAAGAGATCAAGATATCGATAACAAATAGCACATTGAAGGCTTTGGTGAGGTGGAAATGTTAATATCTGAGAGGAGGTGGTTGAAATAAATGCATAATGTTTCTCTGGAAAGGGGTGGGTATTGCTCAGTGCAAATGTGTGAAACAAAGAAAGTGCTGGTTAAAGATCTACGGGATGAGAAAGAATCTGAAGCCGTTAATGAATAGGAAATTGGTAATTTTGCTCTATCATATGAACTAATCATCAAATGTTCTCATCTCTGGAGTGCTCCCAAGGGATGAAAGCCTCTTGGCAATGCTGAAAATAAACAAAGTGTCTGTGTGTAAAGCAAGGTTTAAGGCAAACCAGAGCTAGTCTAAGGAGACAGGACCTGCCCCTTTCCAGTCGTCAACAGCCACATGTGCATGAAAGATACAGACCCAAGGACATCTTCTACTTCATTTTGGTTGTTTTCTGTGAAACCTAAATGCTTGCTTTCTGGGTTTGTCACCAGCATTTTGTAGCAAAGGAACCATACAGAGTAGAATAATGGATATGGGAGACTCAGAAACAGGGAGGGTAGGAGGGAGATTAGGAATAAAAATACTACATATTGGGTACAATATACACTACTTGGATGAAGGGTCCACTAAAATCTCAGACTTCATGTCTATGCAATTCATCTGTGTTACCAAAACCCACTTGTATCCCCAAGGCTATTGAAATAAAAAAATTAAGTTGAGACCTTGTACGCTGAAACAAATACTAAGGTAATCCTTCTTAAGTACTTCGACCTATATTTGCAGAAATGACAGGGGAGACATGTCCTTGCCTCACAGAATACACAGTTCAACAATTAGCTGCCAATACAGCAATGATGTAATAAAGGATGATAAGCATGATGGCTATTAAAGTAGAGGGCTTAGGAAGCACTTGGCAGGGAATCCAGCCCAGCCTGGAGGATTCCTGAGCAAGACACCTCCCTGAGAAGGAGGCATTTCAGCTGACATTGAAAGAAGAAATGGAAATTAGCTAACTATTCCTAATAGACACTGAATTTCAAGTTAAATTATTTATCAAGTCCCTAAAAATTTAATTCCTTGATAATCTCTGGTGGCATTTTGATGATATATTATTTTAACGACAATTATCTAATGTATTTATCAACTGTAAGCATCTTAGTTTGCAGTAACCACATAGTGGGTAGCCAAATTGCTATTCACTGAAATAAAATTTTTCTTGTGATCATTTTTTTGCTTGCTTTTTCTCTCACAATTTATTGGGATATAATTCACATACCATAAAACTCTCCACTTTAAAGTATAAAACTCAGTGTTTTTTTAGTATATTCAGAGGGTTTATGATCATTACTACTATCTAACTGTAGAACATTCTTATCATCCAGAAGAGAAACCACATACCCATCAGCTGTCATTGTCCATTTTCCCTTTCCCCTAGCACCTAGCAACCACTAATTAAATCTCTGTCTATAGATTTGCCTGTTGTAGACATTTCATATAAATGGGATCATACAATATGTGGCCTTTTGTGGCTGGCTCCTTTCACTTAGGATGATGTTTTCAGTGTTCACCTGTGTTGTGGTGTGTATCAGTATTTTGCTCCTTTTCATAGCCAAATTATATTCCATTGTACAGATGTACCATATTTTGTTTATCCATTCATCAGTAGGTATACATTTGGTTTCCATTTTTTAGCTATCATGACTGATGCTCCTGTGAACATCTGTGGATACGTATTTGTGTGGACATATGCCTTTGTTTCTCTTGGATATATAACTGGGAGTGAAATTGCTGTGTCATATAGTAACTCTCTGATTATCCTTTTAAGGTACTGACATGTTTTCCAAAGAAGAAATGCTTTTACATTCCCACTGGCAATGTTTTGCTTTCTTTTTACAGACCCCAGAGGAACTGGAGGATGTTTCTGACCTTGAAGAGGATCATGAGGTTCGCAGTCACACCAGTATTCAGACAGAGGGGAAAACTGACAGGGTATGTCACTTCCCTGGTGGGAGAACCATGTCCTGTGTTATTGACGGCTGTGCCCTCCCTTTGCCAGTCTAGGCAGCCTCTAACATGTGCAACTCATGGATCTGGAGCTAGATCTGTGAAGCACATAGAGAAAAGCCTTAGCATTAAGGGAAACCACATGAGGGGTATTATTTTCCTCTATCTTAAGAGCTCACAGTAAGACCATTTCAGGTCATGTAGTGAATCGCTCCATACTGCTTTTTAGCTTTATAGGAGTCATGGGAATATAAAAGTGAAATATATACATGTTTGCTTAGAGTAGAAAAAAGAAACGAAGCAGTGGTAAATATACTCTGAAATTCTAGTGGAAAAGAAAACTCATCTGAGTCAATAATCTACTTTTCTTTCCCTGCAATAACTTTTCCTGTGCCTGCTCCCAAAAACACACACACACACCACCAACACACAACTCCAAATATGTTAATTCTAATTTCTGAATTACTCTGAGATATTGTACTTCACTTTAGTCCCACGCAGTGCCTGGCTGTCTGTAAAATTTTGGCATCCTAGCCACTTACAGCTTGTGACTATTAGAACCAGACTACAAAGCTTGGGTCAGAAACCCATGTAGTACACACGGTCTCTAAGGCTTCCCAAAAGTGTATCTGAATCTGCTGTCTCTTTCTGCTGTGTTACTTGGGAAAGGCAGTTAGCTTCTCTGTACCTCAGTTCCCTCATTTATAAAGAAGAGACTCTGATAGTATCCTTCATATGAGGATTACTGTGAGAATTAACTGAGTCAACTAACAGAGCATTTATATAATGCTTAGTTCATAGTCACTTCTCAATAGCTGTTAGTTACTATTATTCATAGCAGTAGAAGCAGCAACAATAGTTTGATTATCATGATGATCATTAGTAGTATTATTAAGCTAGTTAAATTCAGTGACATAAAATTTGGAGATGGAAGCAAATTCCTAATCTTTCCCTTTGTTTCCTGGTCTCTCATGGATCTATCTGATGTTGAAACACTTAAATTGAAAGACTGGAGCACACTGTGTTTTTTGGTAGATATATTGTTATACAAGATCCTCAGAAACATTTCAAGCAAAGACCTGTTTGGTCAACTCCATGTCACATATACATGGTAGTGCATATTTCCTTAAATAAAAATAATGATATTTCCATACATATTTTGATATTCTATTGTACTCTGTGGCTTGTGGAAACTGATTTGAAGAGAAACAAACTTTAAGCTTTACCAAATTTTACCTATAATCCTTTGGATTTCTATTTCCTAAGAATGGAAAATAAGATGAATGATTTTAAACAGATGCAGAGACTCAGATTTGGTTTCTACTCTTCTTTTTGATTGCCTTTTTAAAATCCCACAACATATGTAAAAATATTTAGTTTCTGTTATCTACTTTCACATATGTGAAATGAATGTTAGAAAAGCTATCTCATTAGAGCATAACTGTATCTTTTTATTAACAATAATATCTTGGGCTTACATACTTGTTTTTACAATATGCTAAGTATTTTTTAATTTACTATATAATACGGAAAATATAATGAAACATAGTATGGAAAAAGGTAAATTTGGGAAAGTTCCACGTTTTCAGAATTCAGACTGCCTGGAAATAATATTTATTAGCCAAGTAAATAAAACCTGTGTTTTGTCAGAAACATTGTTTATCTCAAATTTTGGTAATAGGAATATTTCATTTTAGTGGAGAAAAACGACTCTCTGAGTAGACATCATTATTACATAGCCAGAAAGATAGTATTTGGTAATATATTGGGAAATGCTACTTTCCTGAGTTTCCATTTCTTACAGATTATTCAGGTTATTTGTCAGTCCTCTAGTAGCCAATTTGTGTTGAAAGCTATCTGGAGTCACACAGCACCTGGATTTAGTTTCCCTCAAATCTGGTTAGCATCATTGGTAGAGATCACATCTTATGAATCAAAATTAAATTGGAAATACATTTTTGCTAAAGGTGCTCTTTGCTCATGCTTTCAGGGAGGTGAGTGAGTGACTCGCTCAGGCTGATGACACTGGAGGTGAAGTGTAGGTGTCAGGGCTTACAAAGTAATTGACCAAAGGAAATTTTATTAAAATTAAGGCTCTTTTTAGAATGCTGGAATTAGGATAAACACACCTCAGTTTTTATTCTGACTTAGCACTTGTAGACAATGAAGAGTTGGTTAGGAAACCAAATTTATTCATTTGAAAAATGAGATGAATGATGCCATAGTTTCTCACAGCATCACTGTAACTTCAAATAAGATAACGCCTATGGAAGTGTTTCAAAAACTTTCACATTATATGATAAGAAAGTAAACTTCTTAATATTATTTTCATTTGTATTTTCGTTCTTGGTCCAAAATGTAGGCCAGGCCAGCTAGATGACTGACTGCCTGTTATAGGTTACAAACTTGATGATCCGCATGGTTCTGGATCTTAAGAATTTTTCATAGAAGCTACAGCTTCTAATGTTGTGGACATTACCCTGAAACTGCTCTTCATCTTGCATTAGTGTTCATCTGTGTACAGCTATCTGACAATCCTGTTCATTCGGAATGCCACTGGGTGAAAACCTCACTATCTGTTTAGTCACAAGGTAGATCCCTGACCCCAAAATCCACTGGTGGCGACATTATATTCAACCTGGCTGTTCTCTGCTCTTATAAATCTCCTCTGCATAAATCCCAAATAATTTGGATTTTATTCACTCCCTGCATTGGGGCTCCCTAGCAACTGCTATGTGGAATCCCCCTGATAACTGCTCAGTCATGATAATACATAGACAGCTTCATGTATGGTGTGAACCCCATATAGAACAACTCTTGACCAATATCTCTCTTCCATTTCTAAGACAGACAATTCAAAAATGCATTTTCCATGGAACCTGAAAGGGTTCCCAGTAGCTTCAAGCAGTAGCCATGCTGATCTGTATCTTTAGACTGGCTCTCCTTTCTTTCCTGATTCATTCTTCCCAGGCTTCCAGTTCTGTTTTCTAATATCTATTTCCAAAATCAACTACCTTTCAATCTCAGACTCTGCTTTTTGGAAGAAAACAAAAAAAATCACTTCACATATACTATTTACTTAAATTTTACATTAACTTTGCTATGTAGATAATATTATCCCAGTTTTACTACTAAGATCACTAAGGCTCAGATTTATGTAACTTGTCTAGTAAGAAGATTATGTTTTCAGACTCACACCTTCTGTGATTGCCACATGTCAGTTTACTTAGGATCTAAATTTAGGATAAGTCTTTTACTAAAAAATAAACAGATAGACTGCCACCATAGCAATAAACCTGATATATAATTAATGGAATGAGAAAGGGGGCAGGGTAAAGAATGTTACTGACAAAGGGAAGACACACGTTTTCTTTTAAATTTTAAAGAGCAATGATTTTATGTTATAGATGACTATGTTTTATTTTAAAGTACACAAATTTTATAGGTGATTATTTTTATTTAAAAGACACAAATTTTCTTTTAAATTTTAAAGAGCAATTTATTTTGTATTGTAGATGACTTGATACCAATAACACCCCTTACAGTATATCTGCCTTGTGAGTTTATTACAACAGATTCTACTCTCGTAAGTTTATGAGACAGATGGCCAAGGAAGGGGATAGCTTAAATTTGGTCCTCACCCAAATCACCCGACAAGAACCAACATTATATTTAGATAGGTTTTACAATATCTACCAGATATCTTATATTTCTGAGTTCCATATTCTTTATTCTAGTATCTGTGCCCCCATGTTCCTTATAATAATAAAATGATATTTATATCTTCGGTCTCATGTCCATCTGGGAAATTATTGAATTATCCATTCTAGCCAGAACTGCTGTAATTTCATATCCATTGGACTGAGTGTAACTTTTGGTACATTTCACAAGCATTCTCGCTTTGAGAAGACACTACAAGATGTTAAAGTAAATTCTGTTGAGAACTCTTTAAATACTCATGCCATGCTCAGTGTGGAATTTGGGGTCACAGCACAAGACGAATAAATGGATTCCTTTCTTTGTTGTTGCTGTTACTACAGAGTAAATGCCTTTTTAGTTCTTGGGTTATGCAGACTCCGCTCCATTGAACAGGTGCTAGAACCAGGCACTGTGTAGTAATGGAGTGACAGTTATTTATTATCATTTTACTTTCTGTATTTCATTCCTACTAGCTTTGGCTGAACATCATTTATTACTGTTGTCACCAGTGGCAAATGCCACTAGGCATTGTAACGGTCTGTAACTAACATATAATGATTTAGAGTCTGTGGTCAATAAGAACAAAATATGAAAAGACCAATAATGCATGCCTTATGAAGTGGCAGTGGAAACAGCAGTGGAAATCAGTAATTGTCTTAATTATTAAACATGAATACTCACTGGACCAATACATGGTTATATCCAGTGATCAGGTGTATCGCAGTGACTCAGGAGTTTGAGTTGGATATCGGTTCATAGAGCATTCTTCACGGAGCTTGTTGTTTATTTTGTTCATGCTTTCAGCCAGCATAAAATAGGCATCTTTTCTCTGGAAAACTCAACTCAAATTCAAAGGAGATGAGAAAACAGACTTTCATTAAGATAATAAAATTTCTAAACCTATTAATAACATTTTTCTGTAAGTCCTAAAAGCTTCCTAAAATATTATATGAAATCCAGACTAAATCAAATTTTCTATTTAAACAGAGCAGTGTCTGATACTATTTAACACATTATAGTTTACAGAACATTTCCAAATTGGTAGCTAATTTTTAAAAAGCCCTGGAGCTTATTTTTGTTATATTTTCCTTTTGGTTTTAGTAATTAGGAAATTACACTCAAAAAAAGTTAAGTAGTTTATGCAAGTCATGTTGACTGGGACCAAATCTCAGGTGTTCTGGCCACAAACATTTTACCTTTCCAGTACAGCAGACTTGTAAACTGGAATAGAGTCTCATTATCCCTTAATATTATCATTGATCTACTATTTCAACAACCAGTATTAG